TCAGGTAGGCACACCAAGTCACCCTAAAAATTTTTCACGTTGGTTGACATTTTTCATTGGATACTCTACTCACATCAACAATACATGTGATTTGCAAAAAAAAAAAAAAAAAAAAAAAAAATTTTCCCCAAACCAAAACACCATTCCATATTCAGTACACTTAAATATATCACTCTCATTGGAAGTGCTATCAGCATAGTCTTTGCAACTAGCCCAAAGCATATAGTTTAGAAGTTTTTATAATTGTGATGTTCATGTTTAATTCTTATGCCAAACTGTTTTCTGATGAAGACAGCATTGTGCTTTATGCAAGAATGAAAACCTCAAAATAATCACCATAAAGCTTCTAAGACTTATGGGAGAATAAACTAGGATGATCCACAGATATAAGATGAAATCCACAATGTTGGAATTATAAATGTTTAGAGCGGCCCAGACTAGAAGACAAGCCCAAACCACCATTAGAAGGATGAAATATGATAATGGTCCAAGATGTATCCTTAAAGTTTTGTCTCAACCCTCAGTCTGAATGGTGAGGATTGATCTTCAGTTCAGTCCAGCCAGCAGAAATTGACTGTGCAATTTTCCGTTGTATTTATTGTACAGACTATGTACATACTAGAAGGTTCCTTTAGTGCTACACTGTTGTACTTTTTGTCCCAGCAATTTGAGGGCGTGCAAATTCCACAAAGTCATCAATAAGAACAGGCCATGCTCCTGGGGGGAAAAAATGGAGAAAGAAAGAACAAAACATGAGTTAATATTTTGATAGAATCCTTCATTTTTTAAATATCCCTTCCCCTAATAAAGTATACCATCGTAAATATGTCCACTGACATGACTTTCAAAATTCTAGCTTTTTAAGAGTTTCTACCTAATGTATTTTTTCTATTCTTTCTGCTGTATTATTCTAATTCGTCATCTTTCCTTGAATGATAAAGAAAACTATTCTGATAATCAATAATGTCATGGTCTTCTGAAAAACACTGAAGTCAGGCCATAGAAGAGCACAGAAGACAAATGCAACATCAAGAAAAACAGAAGTAGATAAGACATTTGAGTATGTGATAAAAAGCAGGTTAAAAAGTAACCTGGTAACACAAAACTTCATTACCTTCTTCATCATAATTAGACATGTCATCTGCAATCATTGTACTGAAGTCTAAAAGAAGATTCCAAGTATCTTTTGGTATTGATCGTTTATGATGTTCCTATTGTTTAAAAAAAAAAAAGAAAAACCCAAATCACTAATGAGTTTAAGACAACCATCAAGATGTTATTAAATACAATATAGAATAAATTATGTTAACTTCTGGCAATCAAATTTCTCATTTTATGTTCATTACACGATCTAAAATTAGTCAACCATGATTTAAAATGTTCATTTATCTCTGAACAAAGCAAAATTTTAGAAAAAACACAGAATTGCAGAAAATATGAACTTACCAACAAAAATTTATTCCATAAGTCTAAGAATTTAAATCTTCCATTAAGCACTAAATTCCAGTAGGCAATAGCCATTTCTAGATCTGTAATATTAAAAAAAAATTATGTATTTCAAATGCCATGAATATTTGTTCCTGTAAAAAACAAACAAACAAAAAAAAAGGTAAGACTAAAGAAAACCGTTTAAAAATTAAAAGGTCTCGAATATTTATGTGTTAAGAATTTCCCAGTGAAGTTAAGTCCAAAACTGTGTTCTGCCTCTGTCACCAACCCCTTTTCAAGGTAGGAAGGGGACTGCAATGAATAGTCCTTCAAGGCAAAAGGGATACCACTTACCTCATGGGGTTTTCTGAAGTTTAAAAACTAGGTAAGTAGATAAGTATGCTCACAAGTATTCAAATGTTTATGTACACCAGTGTTTCTGGACCTTTGACATTTTGCACCAGATGATTTTTTATTGTGGAAGGCTATCCTATGTACTGCAGCATCAGCAACATCTCTGGTCACTACTCATTAGATTGTTGGTAACAGTTCCATCTTAATCCCTAGTGGCAACAAACTAAAAATGTCTCAAATACTGGCAAAGATTCCTTGGGAGAAAAACTGCTCCCAATTGAGAATCACTGATATATACCTTACAGGTTGCCATGCAAAGGACAACTACCCAGTTTGATATTCCAAGTTGTTGACTGATCAATCCAGACTTCAAGGAAACCATTAAGAATATAAATTTTTAAATTAGTAATAAATTAATATTTGTTTTAGAAAACATTCTAAGAAGATGATATAATTGGCTATTTAATTGGGTTTGGAGCAGAGAGAACATTAAAAAACATCTTATCACATGACAAAGAACTACCTCTCTCACATATATAACAGAGAACGAACCATGATCTCTTACAAGGAACCAAAGTAGTTAAGAAAGTATCTAGCTTTTATGAGTAAAAGCTTTTATGAGCTTTTACACCCCCCGACAGGAAAAGTTAGCACCCAACTAACTTAGAAGTCCTTTTAACTATAATCGCCAAACCGCTTGATAATCATGAGAACAATTCCAAAAAGGTACATATCCTACCTCAAAGGCCCAAAGGCAAAAAAATCCACCCATTTTCACTGGACCTAATTCATCAAGGAAAGGGACTACACATCCCTAAATTTATACACTGAAATACAAAACAGGCATTCAGAAACTGCTGAATGAAGCCCTGATGCTTCCACATGTTCTCACTTACCTTTGAAATCATGTCTTCCTTTAAACTCAATGGAAAGGTATCTCTTTTTTCCTCCTACGCAGAAATGTACACTACTATAACAGATCCAATACTATTCTGCCTTTTCAAATCATCTTATTTACTAATTTCCCTATTACCCAACTTCTTGAATTTTGCCATCCCTGTATTCTGATTTATACCCACCTATTAAAAAAAATAGGTTATTCAGGTTATCACTTACTTTTAAAAAATCTTTCTTGGCTCTCCGATTCCCTATTCCCTTACAACTATACTCTTTTTCCTACCCTTAACAATATTAGTAGCACATGGAGTCCTCTACTGCTATATAAAATCTGCTCCTAAAATAATTTCTGAAACTTAAATGCAAATTCCCATGTTTTAAGAGAACTAGAAATATGACAATCTCTTTTTAATCTTTGCACTCTTTAAAGTTCTCTAACCAGTATTCCTTGCAAGTTATTGAATTTTATTCTTTTCTTCACTAACTAAACCTAACTGTCTAATTTTTGTTCACTAATTGCTGTTATTAGTATGAACCGTAAGATTTACTACTGTTAGCTTGAACAGTGATTTCCTTCTTAATTTCAAATATATTAAATGTATGAGAACTAAACTTGTTATTGTGAGCAGTTTTTTCCTTTACAACTAATTCTTTACAAACTAAGGATAAGATGATGAAATATTCAAATAACTGCAAACTATGAGATACCTATAAGTGCCACTTTGTTGGCCGGTGCACTGAAGTAAGAATTTGACAAGAGTGGGATTATACAGGTATGATGTTTGAAAGTTCTGGCTGTACAAGAGAATTTTTTTGTAACCTACATTCATTGCTCCATTTCCTCACCTCCCACATAACTCCTTTAATTCCATAAACCAGCGTCTATGCCCATCACTCACCACACTGAAAGTAGTCTCTGGAGGTCACTAGATACTTCTAAATATGCCCTTAATTTGTTTGGCCTCCTGCCAGGCATGACAGATTTGAACACACCTAACTGGACAGGATTGTCACTTCCTTCAGCTTTATAATAGCACTCTAATAGTCCTCTATGGCTAGCTCATTCTCTTTTACCAACACCTCTTCCTCCATACATCCATTAAATATTGGTATTCCGTGGCAATGTGTGTCAACAACAACCATTTATTCTGCCTCTCTAAGTACTTTTTTCAATCTTTTATCTTTTTCACATTATACACTCAACCACTACCTCTACCTACTCTTAAGTCTGAAACTTATTATCTCTAAATTCTGGGTTCATATATCTAATTCTGTGAGGACACCTTCCTCTTGGGTATCCATAACCAACAGGGCTCAAACTGAACTCATTATTTAAACTCTATAAATCTAGTACTCCTCTCTTCAATGAGTGCCATCATCCTACTGCATTTCTCAGTGAAACACAATTTCTCATTGTGAGGAACTGTTCTGTGCACTGCAGGACGTTTTTAGCCCTTCTCATGCCAGTAGAAACCCTGTCATTTTGGCAACCAAAAAATACCTCCCCAATTCCACGTCTCCAAATACCACCTTAGTGTTAAGAATCACTAAGGAAACTCCATTTTTTCTCACAAATATTTCCAATAGAAGCTCTCTCACTTTGTCTTCTGTGTACCTTTTAAATCATCTCTCTTTTCCATCACCACCCCACTGTCAGGGTCTTCTTCATGTCCACATAATTCTGACAGCTTCACAGTCTCTCTCTTTCTCCACTTATTTTAAAGGACCACACAGCTTTCAGAAAGCCCTTTCAGCCATGTAAATTTAGTGTCACTTCCATGTTAAAATTATTCAATAATTAAAAACAACAATGAGGTACAACTACACACCTTTTGAAATGGCCAAAATCCAAAACACTGACAACACCAAATGCTGGCGAGGATGTGAAGCAACAGGAACTCTCATTCATTGCTGGTGGGAATGCAAAATGGTACAGCCACTTGGAAGACAGTTTGGCAGTTTCTTACAAAACTAAACATACTCTTACCATATGATCCAGCAACCACGCTCCTCAGCATTTACTCAAATGAATGAAAACTTGTATGTCTACACAACCTGCACAAGATGTTTACAGCAGCTTTATTCATCATTGCCAAAATTTGGGAGGAACCAAGATGTCCTTTAATAGGTGAACAGATAGATACACACACACACACACACACACACACACACAGTGGTACAACCAGGTGATGGATTATTATTCAGTGCTAAAATAAAATAAGCTTTAAAGTCAGGAAAAAGTATGTATGTACATGCAAATGCACATTAATATTACTAAGTGAAAGAAACCAATCCATAAGGTATAAACTGTATGATTCCAAGTACATGACACTCTAGAAGAGACAAAAGTATGGAAACAATAAAAAGATCAGGGGTTAAGAGGGAGGAAAAGAATGAAGCAGAGGACTTTTAGGATAGTAACTATTCTCTGTATGATGCTTAAAAGTGGATACATGTACACAAAGAAAGACAACATCTAGAGTGAACCCTCATGTAAACTATGGACTTTAGGTGATAACAACACATCAAAGTAGGTGTAACTAACAAATGTACCACTCAAGTGGGGGATTTTGATAATGGTAAAGATTTATACTTGTATGGATATAGAGGACATGAGAGATATTTTGTACTTTCTGCTCAATTACACTATAAACCTTAAAAACTTAGGCTATTAAAAGAATTAAAGTGCAGTGATATCTTACTATTTTTGGACAAAATCTACACTTGTAGTCAAATGAACTAACTTGCAGTTCCTCAAAGGTGCTATGTTTCTCACCTCTGAGCAACCAAACTGCTAATCTTTCCACATTGAAGATGGCTTATTCTAGCCAAAACTCTCATGACTAAAAAGAAAGAGAATGGAGGCATCACAATCCCAAACTTCAAGCTATACTACAAAGCCATAATAAAAAAAAAACTGCATGGTACTGGAACAAGAACAGACACAGAGACCAGTGGATTCAAACAGAAAAACAAGACATACGCTCACAGGCTTATGAGCAGCTAATCTTTGAGCAAAGAAGATACAATGGAACAAAGAAAGTTTGTTCAACAAATGGTACTAGGAAAATTGGGAAGCTACATGCAAAAAAAATGAAACTAGCTCACTACCTCACATTATGCACAAAAACTAACGAAGTTTATTAAAGACCTACACATAAGAACAGAAACCATAAAATACCTGGAAGCAAAGATGGGCCAAACACTACATGACATACACCTCAGTGATACAGCACCCAATGCAACAATAGGGAAGGAAAGGATAAACAGATGGGACTAACTCAAGTTAAAGAACTTCTGTACAGCAAAAGAGACATTACAAAAAAAACAGACTGACATCTCACTGATTGGGAAAAAATTTTCTTACACAAAACTAAAAATAGAGGATTGATCACAAAGATACTCAAAGAACTGATAAAACTCAATAAAAATAAACAGCCCCACCAAAAAATGGGCAGAAGAGCTTAAAAAACACTTTTCCAAAGAGGAAATGCAGATGGCTAACAAGCATATGAAAAAATGTTCAGCATCATTTGTAATAAGGGCGATGCAAATTAAAACCACAATGAGATACCACCTCACACCAGTGAGAATGGCACATCTTAAAACAACTAGCAGCAACAAATGTTGGCGAGGATGTGAAGAAAAAGGAACTCTCCTGCACTGCTGGTAGGAATGGAAACTAGTACAACCACTATGTAAAACTGTTTGGAAGTTTCTCAAACTGCTAAAAATAGAGTTTCCATATGATCCAGCAACCCCACCCTTAGGTATCTACCCAAAAGACACAAAAACACTGATTCAAAAAGATACCTGCACCCCCATGTTTATTGCTGCTTTGTTTACAATA